AATCGCATCCGACCTGATAAAAAAATATTCAGTTTAAAAGATCGATCAGTGTCCATTTTCAACAAAATTGCCAACAAAAAATATGCCAATGAAGCCGTAGAAATTACCAAAATGAAAAATGAAAAGAGCCAACTAAAACGTAAATGAAAGTGTTACAGTGTTTTACAAAAAAAACCATCACTTACATTGTCAACAATAAGGAAAAATATCCGAGTGGAAGAAGTGAAAAGATTACAATTAAGAAGCAAAATTGAGAGAAAAAGGAGAAACTATGTTACTTTCTTGTATTGTAAAAGCTGAATTAATTGCTACAGATGAGAGATCTTCACGTTTTTATATAAAGTGAAGACAGCAAACTTAAAGAAGAAGGAAGCAACTTAACATCTCTGCTTCTTAGCTAACAACTTAAACCAAAACGACATCACTTTGGTAAATTACCAGTCGACCCTTATATTTTGACACTTTACAAACTACTACTCAATATTCTAACACTACACTTTAAACCAAGCTCTCTCAAGTGTCAAGTGTCTTAGTCAACTTCTCTCAAGTATCCCAGTCAACTTCTCTTGACCTGTATTTTCATAATTATCATTCCACACTCCCCTTTAAACCAAGCTCTCCCAAGTTTCTTGAGCAGAAAAACTTCCCTGTTGATTTTACACACAAAAGGAAAATGTTCCACTAATAAACAACCAAGATCAGAAACGGGCACTAAATTGCTACATTGATATCAGCAATGAATAAAATGAAACATTGCTTTGTTAACGAGCAACCAAAATAAAAAAAAAAATCACAAAATTTCTACCAAAAAGATCACCAAATTTTTGCACTGATAGGATCACCAAACTTCTGCACTGACACAGATATTATCATCAGACGAGCAAATTTTGATGCTGAAATTTTGATGTAAGTGCAACTAAACAACTAAGCAGCTGCTGTAACTTCGTCCCTGATGAGTAAAGAAATTCTGCTAAAGTGAAATAATATCAGCAAAAATCAAGTTACTGTGAGACAACAGAGGAAGATTCGGCAGAACCATCAACACAAAACTACATTCAATCAATTGCAAATAAACCACTAAGTAGCTGCTGTAACTTTGTCCCTGATGAGTAAAGAAATTCGCTAAAGTGAAATAATATCAGCAGATCAGTTACTATAAGACGCAGGGAAGCTTAGGCAGAACCATCAACCAAACACAATCAATTTTTGTTTGTGCTCATGAAACTGAGCAGCTGATCAATCTTTGGTCAAAATGCTAGATATTTGTAGCTTAGAAGGGACATATTGAATCACAACTTTCTTGGCTAAAACTTGGTATGGATGTAGTGAGCATCTATTGATATGCTTAGTTCGAGCATGAAATACAGATTTGATGCTAGCAACTAGCACTCACATATCACACATATGACAGGAGGAGAGAAAAAACTCAAGCCTAACTCAGTGAATATGGAATGCAGCCAAGCTACCTCAGTGCTGTATGTACTAAAGCTCTATACAGCTTTAATAGAGGAAAGGGCAACTACTTTTGTTTTCTAGAGCTCCATTGGATAAAATTGGGTCCCAAGTAGACACAAAAACCACTAGTTGACCTTCGATCATCCAGGTTACTTCCCCAGTCGATACGGATAACCTTCAACATTAAGAGAGGCTGTTGGTAACAATAATCCAGAAGCGAGTTCCTTTAATGTACCTTAAAATTCTTTTGTAGGCCTGCCATTGGAGCTCAGTGGGTCTTGAAGAAATTGGCTCAGCTTGCTACAGCATAGCTAATGTCTGGCCTGGTGAGAGTCAAGTATTGGAGTGCTCCTATAATGCTTCGATAAAGACTCGGATCCTTAAATACTTCACTGTCAGTGGAGAAAGCTTAGTTCCAACTGCCATAGGAGTTGCAAGCATTGGCTTCCAACGTGTTGGTTTTGATAAGCAAGTCCACAACATATTTGGTTTGTTTTAAATGAAGACCTGCCACTGTTCTTGAGGCTTCTAGACCAAGAAAATATTGTATGATCCGAGTGTCTTTAGTGCAAACTGAATGTTTATGTCTTCAACCAATTGATGATGTAAGATGCACTTGAGCCCATGATGAGTATGTCATCCACATATATTAGAAATAAGTCACTGTAGATGTTGTTTTTGAGAATGAACAAACTGAGTCAGACATTGAATTATGAAACCCCTTTTTCTAATAAGGGTTGTTTTAACTTGTCATACCAAACCCATGGTGTGTTTAAGTCCATAAGAGCTTATTAAGCTTGCATACATGAGATGGGTAGTGAGGATTTTCAAAGCTCTCAGGTTGTTGCATAAAAACAGTTTCATTTAGGGTGCCATTCAGGAATGCATTGTTGACATCAACTTGCTGAATGTCCCAACCATTGTAACTGCAAGTGTAATAATATTTGATTGTAAGAGGTTTAACAACTGGGCTAAAAGTTCAAAATAGTCTAGCCAGGAGTTTGTTGAAAACCCTTAGCAACAAGCCTGACTTTATATTTTTGCAATGAGCCATCAACATGATATTTTATCCTATACACCTATTTGTTGCCCACTATATGCATGTCAGAAGTGAAAGGAACCAGGACCCATGTATGATTCTTTTCAAGTGCATCATACTCAAGTTGCATTGCCTCTTTCAAGGGCACTAGCAAGAGCCTCTTTTACCAAGAGGGTTCAGAATGGACAAAGGGTTTGCCAGTGACAATAGAGCAGCGGTTTTAGGAGCACCTGTTTTGGTGAAGGTAATTGGTTTACAAGCACCTGTTTTAGTTCTGGTTGCATAGGATGGATGTTGATGGAAGGTTTGGAAGTAGTAGGAATGGCAGAAAATATTGATGCAGTGAGATCCATTACAGGAGGACAAGCTGGCAGTATGACTAGAGTTTTGAGGCATGGATTTCAGGTTTGGATGATCTTAAGTCTTCTTTGGGTAGGCAACTAGGAAGAGATGCAAAAGTATTAGAGGTTAAAGGTATTTGTGGAGAGGATAGGGAAGGTGAAGTGTGATAAAGTTAAGTGAGAGGCAGGAGACATCTAATGGACGTTGGAGAGTCAAAAATTATGTAGAGGAATTTTAGTGTTTGGGGCTACTGTGTTTTGTAAGTGAGGAGTAATGGTTGACTGAGCTGAAGCGTTTAAGGATGCTATAGATTGAGAGATTGGTGGGAGGTTTAGAGGTTTAGTGTTTGGGGCTGTTGTGTTTTGTAAGGAAGGGTTAATAGTTGAAGTTGAAGTTTGCTTACGAACTGCTGAGTGAGGATTTGCTTTGGAACAAGTTGCTGTGGAGAAGCTATATGACTGAACTTAGGATATCACTGAACTTAAAAGAGTAGGAATATTGACAAAAGGAAAATGTAAACTGAGGAATTGGAACAGTTTAACTCTTGATGATTCTGAGGAAGAAGACTAAAAATTAGAAGCAAAAGGAAACTTAGACTCATTAAATTGACGGTTGGGGTTATGAAATTTTTTCCCTCAGAACTAAGGCATTGTATCCTTTGTGAACTAAGCTGTAGCCTACGAAGACGCACTTTGGCTATGAAACTGAACTTATGCTTATTGAAATCTCTCAAATAAGGGAACAAGTACAACCAAAAGTCTTTAAAGAAGTGTACAAAGGAGGATTGTTAAAAGGTGTCTGATAAGGAGAGTTAAAATTCAAGACAGATGTAGGCATTGGTTAATAAAAAACACAGCAATTTCAAATGCAAGCCACCAATAATGCAAAGGCATGGATGCTTGTGCTAGTAAGGTAAGTCCAATTTCTACTATAGTCTATGTTTCCTTTCGCTTCTACCATTTCGTTGATGGACACATGCACAAGAATATCTAAATTGAATGTCAGCTTGAGTAAGATAAGAAACTAAACCTTTATAATCACTTCCTGGTCAGATTGAAACACTTAAGTTTATGATTGAATGTCTTCCGCTAAACGGTGAAACTTGACAAAGGTGGATTGAACCTCAGCTTTTGTTCTTAAAGGAACAAACCAGGTAAATCTACTGTATCATCAATGAAATGAACTAATATCTATAGCCTTCAAATGAAACTGTAAGGGAGGGCCCCAAACATCACTATGCACAAGCTCAAGAGGTTGGGCGCTCTAGTTTGTGAAACTGGAAACTATTTCTATGCAACTTGCCTAGTTGACAAACATCACAAAAAGGAATGAAGACAAGACTTTTGGTGAATTTTTGTTCATTTGAGTCATAATTTTTGCAAAGGCTTCAGAATGAGGATGTCCTAGTCTACGGTGCCAAGTTAAAGCTAACTGGTCAGGCCGTTATAACCTTAGTGCTAGTGTGGAGCTGGTGCAATTATTAGACTCAATATGATCAATAAGCCTATAAAGATCCTAATAGAGGAACTTGAGGGCACTCTTGTATTTTCCCTAGGCCAAGGGAAAATTAGGGAAACACAATAGCATGAATCTTTGCCGTTCATCAAAATAAGTGCATATAAACCGTCCGATCATCCACTTATCCCTCTACAAGACAAAACCACTGCCTTCCGTCTGGACGCTCGGGCGATTAGGGGTTTGTACTATTCTCTCTGCAAATTTTAGATTTTTCTAGGGTTTAAGTAGCCTCTTTTTAAAAACCTTTATTATGCAAAGGATCATGAAAAGATTGCAAATTTTCAGTTGGTTTTCTTAGTTACCTGGGTTTGTAACTGGAGATGTTGATGCTTCACTATCTGGTCAGTGTGGATACATCAATTCCATATGACTCGTTCCTTGAAGCAATATTAATCGTGTTGTTTTTGTATTTTAATATCTCTCAATTTTTACCCTTTGTTTGTGGAGAACACTTGAGCAACTACATTACTTTCTCTAATTTTTGACTTTGGGAGTAATTGAGCGACGGTGATGAGTCTACAGACCTGTAATGATTTGCGGATATGATCGCAACTCATTTTTGAACATCTAAGGGACTGAGTTATTGTGTACTCCCATTTAAATCTGGTTTATGTTAAAAGTTCGATATTTTCTTCGTTTATGTTATGTGATTTGGGTTTTTTGTTGATGTTGAGGCTTCAAGTTTTGATTTTGACAATAATGTTGCTTACTTTGTGAAGCAATGTCTACAGTGGAGCCTAACAAGTTCCCCTCGCTATCCAGGGCAGCAATTTTGTGTTGCACTTGGACGTCGGGGAACTACATTTGTTTAAGCATCTTGCGGTTGAGAAACATTGTAGGAGGATTCTCTGGTTACATATAATACCAGTTTTATGAGATCATCCACATCCATGTCGACGAAGGAAGAAGAAAATATGACGAATGGAACTATTTCAATAACAAAGGAATAAACAATATTAATGTCCTGGAAGTCCAATTATAAGGCTTGACTCTACATGGTTTAATTCAAAATGGCTATGAGATCCACTCAAAGTGTTTGGTTTATTTAACGATGTCCAGAGACTAATTGAGTAATTTTACGGTTGTCCAAACAACTAATGAGATAGACCAAGTAAAATTGGACTGGAACCAGTTATGGCGCTGGTCATGATGCTGACACAAAAGAAAACTAGTTTATATAGAGCGTCTCGTTAAGACGCCTAAAGAATTGTTCTAGCTTGACTCAGATTAATCTGTCATGTCAATAGGTATATATAGCAAATTGGCTTCTTGATGTTGAAGAAATTTACCTGATGTATGAAGAAATTTATACCTAACAGATCTGACCGTCTAAGTATAAATGCCTAAACCAAACCAATTGTTATTTCAAGCTCTTCACTGGTTCTTCCTATTTAGGCTGATTTGAACTAAATTGAGGTCATTTTTTTTTTTTTTTTTTTTTTGGGTAACGTGGTGCGGAGTGTAGAGGTGCGATGGGGTTGTCATGTGGGGCCAAAATTTTCATGACTCACGTATCAGGGTTGTGTCAAGATAGGGTTGTGTGTGCTTTCGCGAGCTGACTCACGTGCTGCAGGGCTTTCTTAAAAAATTATTTTTTTTTTTTAAATTCGTGAGTGTGTTGTGCCAGTCCACTTGCCAATCTAAGCCTATGGTACGGCATGGAATTTTTGCACGGTGCTAAAAAAATTGTGAGTTGTACTGGCACGGTCATTGCCACCTCTATTAGAGTGTAGACGCATCTAAACTAATTTTCAAGATTTATGAACACCTTATAAGTTTAAAGGACTATGTAAGTCATAATGTGATAAATGATCCCAAAGTTTTAACTAAGAATTTAATGAAACGATAACCTCTTTCACTCTAGCCAATCCCTTGAGGTTAAACCGAGTCATTTCCACCAACTTATATTTGAAGATGCTCTGGGTCCATTCCAAATACACTATTATTGCTAATATAAATTCAAGTTGTTTACACTTTAATACAATACAACAGAGTATAATAAGACAACAAAATTCAATAACACTGGAGATCTGTTGGATCAAGGTTTTGAATCTGCAATGAACGGCAATAATGTGTTCATAAAGATTTTGATTTCCAACTCAAGAACACCAGAGTTCACATGTTGGGTGTTTTCTTCTGTTGTACTAAGCCTAAATTCAAAACCAAATATTATTTAGTTTAGTTTTAAGATCAATCTGTTCATGGCCTATGCAACTGGAATTAATAATAACGATTTACTTTTTTATTCTGACAATGATTTCTATGGCCACACTAGCCAATCACTAATAATTTGTTTGTGTTGTGCTCCTGAACTCACTGCTGAGATGTGTTGTGTTGCTGGATTTCGCTTCCTGGGTAGGAGTGGTTTGTGCGTTCCTTCTTGAGCGAAGCGTTGCCGCATATCTTTCAAGTCATGGGCCATAAGGACGAAGGCATCAACGTCTGTAACTGCTTGAATAGTTTCGGTTGAGATAGGAAGGCCGATGTGCTGGTCAGCATTAAACCAACCACAAGTTCTTCTCCCCAGCAGTCACCATCTTTTAGATGCTCATTTCTGGATTGCGAACATTGTAGGTCCATAGTTGCCTTGCACCACCAAGATCATCTCATCAATTGGATCTCCTCTCGGTAATGCGAGTGCGCTGACCAAAGAAACTGGCTTTACACAATCCACTAGATCCTGCATTTCTGCTTCACAAATTTCCAAATGTGTCACCTATCATATACATACAGGAACGAGAAGAGAGAACTGAGTGACAACATTATATCAATATAATAGGTCCTCTCATATGAAATTTGGATTTTTTCATTTACTTTTTTTATCAAGTGGATGAGTGGGGATTCGAAATTTAGACATTTACCTCTAATGCTATGTTAAGTTGTCATTCCATTTAAAAGTTTAAGTTAATAGGTAGGGTTCAACATTATAGTCTAATAATACTCGTGTACTCTTAGTAGTCCCACAAAGTCAAAGAAACTCACTTTTTCGAGCAGATCTACACAGAGTTCTTGATTCAATTTCTTTGGAGGTTCTTGGGAAGACACATGAAAACATTTTCTATATTTACACCTTCGGTTTTCCGCGACAGAACATTCTCGCAGTAATTCTTCACCTGATATTGTAGATCGTCATTTAGTCTTTTGAAAGGCATCCACTGCTCTGTCTCTCGCGACTTCTGTCTCATCTTGGCAGATCCTTTAGTGTCCGCTTGCAGACATAACTGTTTCACGATGTACAGTCGGATAGAAATCCAGTTCTCATTATTTGCTTCATTCAAGATAAAATTTCGGATACTAACCTGCAATTTACCAACGAGGAAGAAAAACACACCACTCCAGTAAAGATAATAGCAATGCAAATAGGATTCCCCAGATTGAAGAAATTGCTCCGATGCTCTGACCAAAACTACTGCAAAAATTGAATCAAATATATTTATTAGATTAGTGAAATAAATTATTGTATTACATTTACTTAATATGCACTATGAATTATTCGCTAATGCATATGAATCGTGTTTATTTGTATTAATTAATGGTTTACAATCACCTATAAGTAAACAGTAAAATACGAAATTTCAATAAAACTTTCTCATTTTGAAAATTAGAAAATTTATCTTTTATAATTCAATCGGTGCCATTAAATGGAGACAAAATTTCAATATAGAATTTTCAACCATACTATATCATACATCTGAAACTATATAAAATGAAAATTAGATTTGCACAGGGAACGTATATATTAATCATAAAATGTTGTTACTATAGAGGATTAAATCATAGTACGAATATGCACCAACCTGTATTTTGCAGGCCCCATTTGAAACAAAATAATATCCTCGTCAACCTACCTGCCCCTGCAGCAGCATTCCAGAACGATGGGCATCAAGGAATGTTCCAAAATCATTTCGTGGTATTTCTAGAGCAAGAATGTTTAGCAATTTTATGTGTTCCAAACTTTTATTGCAAGAGAAAATATCAGTACTGCATCCAGTATGATTCCGCAGGCTTCTTCCAGCATCTGTCTCTGCGATTATGGCTCCGTTATACCACAAGCCTCCGTATAACTAAAACGCAAGCAAGTCCAAGGTGACAATATATACACAGTAGGAAATAATTATTTGTCTAATCTATGAAATTGAACTTACATGACCGGCCTCACGTATAACATGAAGAACATAAAGGACCACCGACGAATGTTTCTCTGCCCCCCCATTCTCCTCAATTTAGACATTACTTGAAAGAATCTTGGCATACGCCGCAGTATTAGAACAATTTGTGCAATCCAAATGTTCCAGACACTCATTCTTTTAGAAATAATAACTATCACCATCACTAGACAGTTTGGAGTCCATAAGGGAAATGAAATATATATATGTTGGAAAATTTATTATAAACAAAGTTTAAAAAATTTAAATTGTTTATCATGACTACCTTATTATGTATAGCAAATGTACTTAATAACTTCCCAAACTAACACCGTAGAGTGGAAAAGAATAATGTATCAATAATCTGTGGAGGGTTGATCAAACACCAAAAAGGGGATCTTTTACGCAGTGATTATATATTAGCGACAGGGAGTGATTAGGGTGATGTCTCCCTAGCTCACACAGTCAAAAAATTTATAGAAATTAACTATCACTCATGATCTTTGTTGAGCGAGAGAGATGAGAGAATAAATTAGTGTTCTCATCTTACTAAATGTGACCATAACTTAAATCATCTCTGTTATTTTTCTCTTATTTTCTATATTACTTAGATGTTCTGTTTGTCAAGTCAAAGGGTTTTGTTTGAGCTTTATTTTTCGCTGCATAATTTGACTATAAATTGGTATTTTTGTATGTCAATCACAAAATAATGAAATATACAAGAAACATAGAAACCTGAAAAAAATAAAGCAATGCGCTTAGGCTAGAAGTCTTATCGATCTTTACAGCAAAAGTTTCTTAATATATTGGAAAGTGCGTAAAACAAATTGGAAAATATATGAGGACAGAAAGAAATGTTGCTGTAAATGTTGTGTAGGCCTTACCTGGGGGACAGGAAGAAGGATGAGAATGTTAATGAACAAGCACACATGTTTCCTGCATCTCTTTGTAAATTATTACACAGTTTGAAGAGATGACGTGTATAGAAGAGAAATGTAAGATATCAACTATGGTAATGAGAACACAAGCGTAATATGCAGCGACCGGTCAACTACGATGCACTTTTTTTCATCACTCATCCAGAATGTAGTATAGAACAGGAATCCAAACAAAGGGGAAGTAACTTAAAAGAAGTTAGTAATAACGTCCAGGCGGCATTGGCTTGAATTTTAGGAGCAGAACGTTGATTCTTTGGGAATTTATGAGCTCAAGTCGCTTCATCATTCTATGTCTCCAGCAGGAAGTTGCCCTGTCGTAACATCGCCTACTTCACAATCGCATCCGACCTGATATAAAAAATATTCAGTTTAAAAGATCGATCAGTGTCCATTTTCCACAAAATTGCCAACAAAAAATATACCAATGAAGCCGTAGAAATTACCAAAATGAAAAATGAAAAGAGCCAACTAAAACGTAAATGAAAGTGTTACAGTGTTTTACAAAAAAAAACCATCACTTACATTGTCAACAATAAGAAAAATATCCGAGTGGAAGAAGTGAAAAGATTACAATTAAGAGCAAAATTGAGAGAAAAAGAGAGAAACTTGTTACTTTTGTATTGTAAAGCTGAATTAGTTGCTACAGAGAGAGATCCTCACGTTTTTATATAAGGTGAAGACAGCGAACTTAAAGAAGAAGGAAGCAGCTTAACATCTCTGTCT